ACTTGGGAATGTTGCTCGAGTTAAGAAAAGCGCGCAAAATCACTCGCCTTCGGCTCGTGTTTCGCTCGCTTTTCTTAACTCTCGCAACATTCCCGCGTGTTTGGATCAGGCCATCCAAACACGGAAACCATAAAGTAATTGTATAATACTGACTGAATATCTAACACTTTTCTGGTTCGCTATGCTTGTAAATGAATATAAACTCTACGTTTCAATTCAAAAAATTTCGAAAGATGCAAAATTTGAATTGGGCAATGTTTATATCTGAGGGTTCCCCTTTGTTATGAGCAGAACTGATGCGCAGAACGGAGTGGAAATCCTCTTTAATGTTTTCGTATGAAAATTTTCCCCTCATGAAACTAGTGTCGATCAATTATATAATAAAAATAAAAAAAATCACATCAGCCTGACATAAAAAATTGTGGTCGTTTTATGGAGGTTTTTACTGTACTGAAATGTTCTCGTCATGGTTCATGATATTGCTGAACTTACCGATAATTTAAATAGGAATCTCAAAAATATATAAGAAAGACTAGAAAGGAACAAATTGCAAACTCATTGCAACCATTAGAAGATGTGATTGCAAATTTCCTTCTGCCAGCTTTAGTTGATCACAAGTGCTTCCCACTCGAGCTCGTGACATTCTGGCCTTACCAGTTAGGAAGGTGGTATTGAATTGGCAAACTGAACCCATGAAATGAAACACCATTTAGTGTCAAAAAGGATTTAGGAGTATTAATGTCAAAAAGGTACCAATCACTACTTTTAGGTGATGTTTAATAATATTATTATTGTTTATAGTTAAAAGTTTGTGTGGATTCAGGAATCGTGTATACTGTACAAGGATAATACGCACCTGTAGTTCGTCTTATCACTCAATGAAACACTGGTACTCGAGTAACTAATTTGTGGTAATGACGAGGGACCCACGACAGTATTCACGCGTTGAGAGATTTCTGAACGTGCACCACCAATTAACGCGACCACATAAGGCTGGGTCGTGTTCTCGGAACACTCGCATTCGCGTGAACTATCGCACGCTTTAGGCCTTTTTCGGAGCGTCGTGAAATCCAGGGCTGCGTCTAGGGCTACATCAACGTTATTGACTGAATTCCGGATGTCATAACCTAGGGCTATATTTGTACCTGTAATTATAACATGCAGATAGTTTAATGAATTAGCATTACTTGCACATGGGCATGATGTAGCATGTTGGTGGGTCTCAGTCACCATTACGGTGTGCAGCTGGTGGTCATTGATCAACTTCAGAAATGCAGGAACGAGAAAATTACACTACATCTCCAAATTCTACTTATTCGCCACGGCTAAATACAAAACTACTAATACATATAGTGAAGGAATTAACAATATTTTCTCACTCTGCATGATAACATCAGTTTGTTCCTCCTTTTCGTATAAACTATATAAATTATGATGCTTCTCTGAGTGTATATCCACACCGGGTAAGCTTGAAAAATATGCCTGGTCACGGTGGGAATCGAACCTACGATCTTTGGAATACTAGCCCAATGCTCTGCCAACTGAGCTACGCGGTCAGGTCGGATTGTAATAGTGGGAGACTCGATTGTCAAAGGTTTGCAGCAACACAAACTTTCGAAAGCAGCAAAGCAGAGCGTGGGTGTGAAATGCTTCCCAGGAGCGACTGTTGGGGATATGAGCGATTATATAAAACCCGTGCTACGTCGAAAGCTAGATACCGTTATTCTGCACGTGGGAACAAACAACTCCACTAACAAAGAAGCAAGCGAGATAGTTAATGACATCGACAAATTATGCCAAGAGGTCAAAGAAATTGATCCCAACGTTGAAATAATATTTTCTGAACTGATCAACAGAGAGGACAATGCAAAGGCCAAAACAACTGTTCAGGAGGTAAATCGTTTGTTAGCAGCCGGATTACTGTACTGCGACTAATTTAAATCTATATTTAATTATACATAACAACAATATCCTCAGTAAGTCGCTAATTAACAGATCCAAATTGCATCTGAATAAGTTAGGTCTTCTACTTTAGCTAAAAACTTTATTAGTTATTTACATAATTTTTAAACTAGGTAAAGTTCCAACTCTTTACAGCAAAATTTCCGATACCGAGCCTAAAGAGCCAAGTTGCTCCATTGAGAAGATTATTCCACCGAAACAAAGTGTGAAAATAGCATTACATTTTTACAATCTTTGAAAGGATTTAGAGTTGGGCATTTAAACATCGCTTCGTTAGTCAAGCATGTTGATGAATTAAAGATATACTTGGAAAAAGAACCACTCTTGTTTTGAGCGTTGGATGAAACAATTAGTACAGATACTGTTAGTACACCCGGTTACGACATGGTTGCCAAAAATCGTAATGGGCAAAGAGGCGGTGTTGCAATTTACCATCGCAGTATTTTCGGAACGTAATTGATAGAGATGATTTAGTCCCAGAGGACGTCGAGGCTATTTGCCTCGAAATTATTAAGCCTAAATCTAAACCTGTCTTAATCCACGTTTACTGCGATGAAAAATATGTTGCTGTCACGTGACCAAATTTGCATTTTTTCGGACAACTTTCGCACTCCGCTATTCAAAGTGTATACACGTGCGCGATATAAACAAGCGAAAATATCGCAAAATAAGGACGATTTGAAAGTTTTTTTTTATTTGTGGGTATATTTTAACTCCTGTAAGTGTAATATGTAGCGAAGAGAAAAATTTCCCGTTGTGTGGGTACGAAAATATAGGGATATATTTCGCTCGACGGCCTCGATTATACTATCCATGATTATACTATAAGCGATTCACAAATTATGGTAAAGAGATGTGCTTGGGGAATATGCAAAAGCGATTCGAGGTATCCAGCACGCTTAAAAAACAATGGGACTTCAGTATCTTTCTACAGTTTCGCCCAAGTGAGAAGAAATCTAAGGAAAGAAGGCAAATTTGGATAAATGCATGTTGTCGAGGCGACAAGTTCGTCTGTCGGAAAGACAGCTATATGCGGTTTTCATTTTATTGGCGAAAATGGACCCACAGCGGATTATCCTGATCCGATACCAGCTACAGCTGATGGGAATAAAGTAAGTTATATATATGTTTTATAATCAATATATTTGTTTTTCTACTAATGACCTGGCATGGACCAGATGTTACACTCTAGTCTCTCGCGATTATGCAGTACATCCTCCAGCGAATACAAACAGGCTGCGATGTGCTTGCAGCCTCTATAATCTTCGAATGATTTATATGAGGCAAGTCCCTGTTTATCATACTCAGCTGAGCTGTATATTAAATAGTTAAAAATATACAAACCGAAGGGTGGCGGCGACTGGCGAATCTATAAAGTCGTTCACGACTGGATATGACAATGGCTGACGTATCACCATATCATGAATAATAAATGTTTCTCTTGCATTCTTGAGATCCGAATTTCCATTTGGGTCAATCGGTAACATCATTTTCTCCACTGCTTGAGCAATTTGAAGTAAAGCAGGTTTTAAATAGCCGTTTGCAGTAACGCTACGCATTTTCAAATACTCCTTTAGTTCGACAACAGTCATGTCCGAAACACGCTTATTCAGAGTTATTCTCCTCATCCATACAACTAGACATTTTTCTCTTCGGTATATTACACTTACAGGAGTTAAAATATACCCACAAATACAAAAAAAAACTTTCAAATCGTCCTTATTTTGCGATATTTTCGCTTGTTTATATCGCGCACGTGTATACACTTTGAATAACGGAGTGCGAAAGTTGTCCGAAAAAATGCAAATTTGGTCACGTGACAGCAGCATATTTTTCATCGCAGTAAACGTGGATTGCATCTGCATATAGGCCACCGAATTCGCAAATTGAATTCCTTGATAAAATTGAAGTATTATTTCAAAACCTTGACAACGAACATAAAACACTAATTATCGTTGGCGATTTAAATTGTGATTTTTTATCCAACAATTTAAGCAATCACACTAAACGCTTTAATGATATAGTTAATATATTCCAGCTGACACAGTTGATTGACCAGCCTACACGAATTACCGAAAAAACAGCTTCTCTATTCGATGTCGCTCTTGTAAACAATCCTGCGGAAAAGATTTCGCACTCAGGAGTATTGCATGTTGGAATCTACGTTTGTAGAAAAATTTCGTTTGTAAAAAATGATCCTAAATTTGTTGAGTCGAGAAATTTTAAAAACTACATACAGCGAGTTTTTAACTTTAAGACTTATACCATGCTTTATTTAATTTAAATTGGGAGATAAATTGTCCAAATATGCTTTGGGAGAACTTCCAAACAACACTGATTTAATTATGTTGCTGATATTCATGCTCCACTTCAAAGCCGTAAAGTTAGAAACAGAAAGGCACCGTGGCTGAACAAACTCAACTGCATGGCACAATGCTTACAAAAGTCTTCGCAATGAGATTAACAAAACAATTATGTATGCAAAGCGAGATTATTACACAAACTGTGTTGACAGAAACAGAAATATCAGTACTTCAAATAGACGAACAGGTTATTACTGAAAATGAAACTATAGCTGATTTGTTCAATCAATATTTTACCGAACCAGATCACGGAAACTAATACTGATTTTAAACGTTATATGAAATTTAAAACTCAACATATTAAGTTCAATTTCAAAAACATTAATATCAATGAAGTGTTAAATGCACATTATGCACTTGAGAGAAACTAAAGACATCTAAGATGCTTCTGTGATGTTACTCTCAGTGTATATATATCCACACCGGGAAGGCTTGAAAAATATGCCTGGCCACGGTGGGAATCAAACCTACGACCTTTGGAAGACTAGCCCAACGCTCTCGCTCTGCCAACTGAGCTACGCGGTCAGATCGGTTCGAGTATGCGATATTTCTGAACTGAGCCGGTCTAGTTCCCTCGATATCAGTGTAATCTAATAATCATGATATTTGCTGTGTTGGTGAAATGTACTCGGGTGAATAAGATGCTTGTGTGATGTTACTCTGAGTGTATATATATCCACACCGGGAAGGCTTTGAAATTTTTATCTACATCCTAAGATGGGTCACCAAACTTATTGGCAAAATTTATGATTTACCTCCAGCCCACCCTAGCAGTTACTTTATGACCAGTTCCTTAGATTGGTTTAAATCCTATTTGCATAACAGAACGCAATACTGTAGGGTGAACAGTGCAACATCGTCTACTAGGAAAATACGCTGTGTGGTTCCCCAGGGAACGAACCTTGGTCCCCTTTTGTTTTCATTATACGTAAATGACCTGCCATATTGCTTGGATAAATCCTGTCAGGCAATGTATGCAGATGATACAAATCTTACAGTATGTTCAGATAGCATTAATAATGTGGAGGAAGCACTAAATTCTGAAATGAAAAACCGAACGCGTCAAAGACTAGCTAAAATTTTAAAAAATACCAGTGTATCATGCGGGGGGAAACTTTTGAAACAGGTTTATTCCAAAAAGACTTTAGGTGTACTGATTAATGACAATTTATGTTGGAATGAGCAAATCGACAACATCGGTAAAAAAGTATCGAAGGGCATTGGTATGCTGCGCCGTGCAAAGCCATTTGTCTCTTTTGAAACTCTTAAATATATTTATCAGGCTTTAGTGCAACCGAGTTTTGATTACTGCTCCATGGTTTGGGAAACTGTGGCGAAGGTTCAAAAGAGAAGCTACAGAGACTACAAAACCGTGCAGCTAGAGTAATCACAGGTGATACCTATGAAATTCGCTCCACGGATATTTTAAAGAATTCAAATTAAATTGGAAAACACTCGAAGAGAGAAAGGAGCAAAAATTAGCATATGCCAAAGCCCTTTCAAGCCAATGTCCTGAAAACGTTTCAACTATGTTTAAAATCTCAAATTCTGATAAATATAATTTAAGAAGCAATAACAAGATGCTGATGTTGTCAAAGCCTAAAACAAATTCAATGAAAAGGACTTTCGGATATGCTGCTGCTAAAGGTTCACTGGAACTATAATAGTAAAAATTTTAAATCTACTTAATTCGTTTTTAATATATATTTAACGTATCACTTCGACCCAAACATTTCTTAGTATCTTTTAATATTTTTATAATAGTTTATATAATAGTATTTCGAGTTTCAATATGTATTTAATAACACGGCCTAATGAAAAACAAGTGTATAAAGATATATGTTATAATAATAATAATAATTTCGGAACTGAGTCTAGTTCATTTGATATCGATGTAATCTAGTAATCATGATTTTTTTCTGTGTTGGTGTAATGTACTCAGGTGAATACGATGTTTTGTTACCGTGTAAGCTTGAAAAATATGCCTGGCCACAGTGGAAATCGAACCTACGACCTTTGGAATACTAGCCCAATGCTCTGCCAACTGAGCTACGCGGTCAGGTCAGTTCGCGAGTATGTGATATTTCGGAACTGAGTCTAGTTCTTTCGATATCGATGTAATCTAGTAGTAATCATGAATTTTTTCTGTGTTGGTGTAATGTACTCAAGTGAATAGAATGCTTGTGATGTTACTCTGAGTGTATATCCACACCGGGTAAGCTTAAAAAATATGCCTGGTCACGGTGGGAATCGAACCTACAACCTTTGGAATACTAGCTAGCCCAATGCTCGGCCAACTGAGCTACGCGGTCAGGTCGGTTCGATTATGTGATATTTCGGAACTGATTCTAGTTCCTTCGATATCTATGTAATCTAGTAATCATGAATTTTTTCTGTGTTGGTGTAATGTACTCAGGTGAATATGATGCTTGTGATGTTACTCTGAGTGTATATCCACTCCGGGTAAGCTTGCCTGGCCACGGTGGGAATCGAACCTACGACCTTTGGAATACTAGCCCAATGCTCTGCCAACTGACCTACGCGGTCAGGTCGGTTCGAGACTTCGAGTATGTGATATTTCGGAATATATATAAATTGTGTATAGTCATAAAATATATAAATTGTGTATAGTCATAGTCGATAATCTCATAATCTTGATCAGGACGCTACATACCATTTAACAAGAACTGATTTGAAGCTAAAACAGAAAATCGTATGGCCTCACTCCACATGACTCCCCAACTATTTAGCTTATAGCATTTTATGCTGCCATCCCAGGAGCGGATGTACGAGAACCCCGGATGGTGGATTTCGCACAACGTATCATTGGATTCCCTGAAGTGAACGGGCACGAGACAGCCAATGCGGACGTCCCCAAAATCGCTGACCAAACGTTTTGGAGGCAGGATGTCACTGTTGATGAGGAGTTTGGTTGAAGTTTGAGTTAAGAAGAGTAGGATCAATGAAACCATGTTTAATATTTTCACTTCTGAGAATTCTAGACGCAGTTGTAGCCTGAAATAAGAGAACCAAAAGTCAACAAAACGGCTATCAATATAAACTCTGATCGCAAAATTAGTACTACGGATGTCACCGAAGTGTGCGAGCCACTAAAATTTCGCACGACCGCCACGCCCACAAAGCGTTAGCGACCCGCCCACAAAGGCATACGCAGGGCGAAGGGAGAGAGGGCGTGGAAACGGCAATACATCGAGCGTCCCCATCCGTGATGCGGGCTTCGCAATTGTAAACAAATATGGCTACGCGTATATAAGACCCATCAGAAGGTATGCTGAAACTATTGCTTTATAAAATATTACTTGTGTAAAATTTATATGTTTTTGTTACTTTTAGCTATTATAAGAAACTTAAAGATAAGATTTAAGTAACGAAAAACTTTATTTCGGGTGTTATTTTATTT